ATGAAGTGGATTAATTGGTGTAAATTCAACATGATCAAAAATAAGAATGGAGGCATATAACGCCATAAAAACAACAAAAAACACTGATAATGATCTGGTTTACATATTCTTTTAAAAAATCCCTAAGAAAATTTAGAATGTTGATCCAAGTTTTAAAATGCTCACAACAAAAAACTGGTTTTAAAATGCCAAAATGACATGATTTTAAGACACCACAACGAATATATCATAATGTAAGTGCATACAACGGAAACATAACACATGTTTAATTTGCAAGTTAATTAAGATGCAAACTTTATTGGATCATACTTAGTATTTTCTTATAAGAACTTAACAAAGTGAAAGATCATACTATTTTTCGATTACTTGATCGATCAAAAGATCAAACGGCAGTAACTGCGATTTTCATAGCGGATTCGCAATGGCCTGGAAAATTACAGATGAAGAAATGTTTTCCTTTAGATAAAGTTATACGATCTTTGCCTGAAGTGTATGTTCTCGCACGTGCCGGGGTTACGCAATTGGTGTATCCTCCATTATCTACCACGACCACGTTGTGGCTCCTTGGACTATAGTTAAACACTGTAAACAAATATTTAAAAAGTGAAAAATTCATGATTAATTACATACTAAATGCATAACGTAGTTGTAATACTATGTTATGCATAACGTAGTTGTAATTATGTACTTCAATTTTTTGGCTCACTAATCTTAAGAATGGGTAATAAATCTCCACTATTTATAGAATATTTTATCTCCACTTCCATGCTCAATAATCGATGTGGGACAAAAACTAACATACCTTTTTAAATGTCAAATTAAAAAAAAAACGAAAATTAAATAATATTACCATCATTTCTTAATTGATTTAAATACATATATCAATTGTTTAACAGATATAAATTTATATTTTGTGTCATTTTTTAACAAATTGATGCAAATTACATTAAATTTACATCAATTTTGTCGAAATGATGTCAAATAAGTCAATAACAACATCAATTATGATAACTGATTTTAAATCACA